CCTGTGTTTCTCCTACCCAGAATCCTCCTGGATTCCTAGCCCCACCTATCTAGATTCCTATTGGCCAGACAGTGCTTTATTAGCATAAGACTTCCCCAACAAGCTTGACTAAGGCTAGAGTCATCTGAGAGAAGGGAATCTCTCTTTTCTGTAGCCTGTCATGGCTGCTAAAGCAGGGGCTGAGTCCCTTTATTTCTAAATTAGTAGAAGTGAAGCCTGTGAGTTTAGTTATCACTTTCATTCTTCTTATAGATAACCCAATCCTGGGTTACTAGTGAACAATTTTTTATTGTTATCTTGTCCCCTATGTAAGGGAATTTTTCTTTGACTTAGCATCTCAACCAGGGAAAAGGGGTGACACATTCTTTTCTGTGCTACTTCCTGCTGACTTTGGGGTGTGGTAGTCAGGGGCCCGGGTAGGCCCAAATGCTAGTCAAAATCAAGGAGGGAATTTAGGCAGTGGAGTATTTATCAGAAGCATCTTTTTGGCAGACTCTGTTGAAGAAACAGGGAGTGTTCACGTCGGCTGGACTGGTTTACATCCATAGCAAATCTATAACTCACAGTCTTTAGAAACAGGCCGTAGTCAACAACTGATGCTCAGATGTGTCTGCCAGAAGTGGAAATCTGTTTGTGTCATGTTTAAATTGGGAACAGAAGTTAAAACTTATATACTTAATCAGAACTCTTAGGTCCATAGTTTTAGTGATCAGGAAGGGCAGAAGTCCCAAGACGAGGGGAGGAAATCCCATTCTTAGAAACAGACAGGTGGGATAACAAAAAGCTGTACTTATCTGGAGTCCTTTTGACCTGTGAGAAGTGGATCCAAGCTTTATGATTTTTGATCATCTGAAGCCTATATGGACTTTATTATACAAAGGACTTAAAAGTTTTAGACATAGAAGCATTACCAGTCTGTACTGAAATCGACATTGTAGAAAAAGCAGAGATTGGGTATCTGTAAAACAGCAGCAGGAATAGACTCATACCTTTGAGTCCTAGCAAAAAACTAAAGGTTTGCGTTAGAAGCTTGTACATTTTTTTCTTCTGTCCAGAGAGTCAGGTATAGATTAGACAGAGGTGCTTTAGGCCTGATTAAATGAGCTATCAAGCTGGCTATAGTCTAACCATTAACACTATCAGGGATCTGAGAAGGATAAATTTTATACAGTTTCTGAATCTATTAAATGACAGCGTCTAGTCCATATACAGTTAGCCATACCCAAGTCTCCATTAGCAGGTAGAAATATCAGAGAATAGTATCAATCTTCACCAGGCCTACAAGATGAGAGTTTTCTTTCTCTCTGTGGAAGAGGGACATGGAAAAGACTAACCTTATTTTGTCTAGGCAAAAGGGGTACAATCAATTCTCCAATGTCCTGTCGCTTGTCCAGTCTCGACCAGGTCCTGGAAGCAGGTGTGCATTGGGGCATCCTGCCCCCAGGTTACCGTTGTGTAGACATCGAGGTGTCCTGTAATCTTCTTTGGAGACATTGGGTCACTGTCAGGATCTGGAATTCTCTGTCTGACATTATAAGGTTTTTTTTTAGTCAACATTTTAAATGTGATATTCTGTAGATCTCTGGAAGTATTAAGAGTGTTGCCTAAGCCGGGCGTTGGTGGCGCATGCCTTTAATCCCAGCACTCGGGAGGCAGAGGCAGGCGGATCTCTGTGAGTTCGAGGCTGGGCTGGACCAACAGCCTCCAAAACAATACAGAGAAACCCTGTCTCTTAAAACCAAAAAAAAAAAAAAAGTGTTGCCTAGGTAAATCTGGATAGACAACTTTGCTTTCAGTTGTTTTAAACTTAAACTTTGAAAATATATATAGGGAACTGATAAAAATATACATATTTTTATCCCTGTTATAGAATTTTTCTGTACTTAATATGGCTTCAATGACATTAGTACAGGATCTGTCTGGAGAACTGAATTTAAACTGAGAGGCTGTGGAGGGATGTTTTATTCAGAGCCCTCCAGACTGACTGTAACTGGTTTTACCTTAGCAAACAGACAGGACATTTAAAGAGACAGAGTAACTTAAAACTGTCATTGACAAGAATGTAGATCCGCTGCACATGGAACAGGCAGGGTTTTTGCATGTAATGTGTGTCCCACCAGGTCCTGGAAAGGCATGACATTCTGCAAACAAGCCATGTATAACAGAGCCAGTGAAAAAAGAAAACTGTCAGTGACCAAGATAAAAGGCAAAAAGGTAAATGAATTATGTCCGGCAGCAGAGTTTGTTGGCAGAAGCTGACTAGATTGTCCCTCTGTCTAGGCTGAGGGAAGGGAGTAACTCATAGCAAAAACAAAATAAATACCCTTATGTCCTTAAAACCATTATCACCCGGGGTGACTGTTAAATTACAAAGCTTACATAATTTTTTTAGAACAGAAAACTCTAGTTAACAGAGTAGATTTTATTGCTCCTTTAAAGGAGAAGGCACACGTCAGAAATTGGAGTCTCTTGCTCTATCGACCAAGGTGTACGCCCAGTCCTACATCTCCTCGTCAGTGATTGGCCTTGCCAGAAGGACTGGTAAAATGTGCGTATTTTTTTCCTGGTAAAAGTTATGTGAAAGCCGGGCGTTGGTGGCGCATGCCTTTAATCCCAGCACTCGGGAGGCAGAGGCAGGCGGATCTCTGTAAATTCGAGACCAGCCTGGACTACCAAGGGAGTTCCAGGACAGCCTCCAAAGCCACAGAGTCGTCTCGAAAAAAAAAAAAGTTATGTGAAAAGTTTAGAGAACCTATATAAAACTCGACAGTGACATAAACAAATAATTCAAGTGGAAAATGGGCAAAATCCATGAACAGACATTTTATTACCAAGGACATACAAATTGCAACATTATTTTAACCCATTAAAACCCATACATTGGCCATTCTTCTTGAGTTGGCTGCTAGCCGCTCAGGGCTAGGCGCAGTGCAGAAACACTGCGTCTAGACACCAAGGGAGCCAGGCGGTGGTGGTGCACGCCTTTAATCCCAGCACTCGGGAGGCAGAGGCAGGCGGATCTCTGTGAGTTCGAGGCCAGCCTGGTCTACAGAACGAGTGCTAGGATAGGCTCCAAAGCTACACAGAGAAACCCTGTCTCAAAAAAGAAAAAAAAGACACCAAGGGAGTCCTGACCTTCCGCCAGCTGCTGGGGCGATCCGTCTTTTATGGGAGTTGCTGTGTGCAGCCACCATAAATGACTATTGACCCATGCAATTATTTTTCCTGTGGAAATAAAAAGTGTACAGACTAGATGGGAGGGGGGCAACGCTGGTGATCAGAGTGCCGTTGGCTGCCAGTGTTCCTGAAAGAAAAAAAATTTCCCCAACATTTTTAGTCACAATCCCAGATTTGCTGTTTCATGTCCTTCCATATCCTTTTTTTTAGGCAGAAACTCTCTGTGTAATCCTGGCTGGTCTGGAACTTTCTATGTAAATCAGGTTGTTCTGAGATAGCAAAAATCCACATGCCTTTGCTTCCCAAGTGGGCCACCGAGCCTGGCCCTTTGTTTAAGGCATTTTGTTCATGTGTATGTGTCTGCGTGTCTGCCCTGTGTGCACAGGCCTGCAGGGCCAGAAGAAGGTATTGGGTCTACTGAAGCCGACGTTACAGGTGGTCGTGAATATCCTGATTTGAAGGCTGGGAACGGAACTCTAATCCTCTGGGAGAGCAGCAAAGGTTCTTAACCACTGAGCTGTCTTTCCAGTTCCTTAAGATTTGTTTGTTAGCCGGGCAGTGGTGGCGCATGCCTTTAATCCCATCACTCGGGAGGCAGAGGCAGTCAGATCTCTGTGAGTTTGAGGCCGGGTTGGACCAATAGCCTCCAAAACAATACAGAGAAACCCTGTCTCGTAAAAAACAAACAAACAAAAAGATTTGTTTATTCACCAAATTATCATATCTTCACGTATTATTTCTCTGCTTTCTACAGTTACTTTATTTTTTATGATTTATTTTTACACACACACACACACACACACACACACACACCAGTAATGGGTTCATCAGTAATACACACCACAACCACACACACACACCACACACACACATACACACTCATGATACTTAATAGCTCATACTTGCCCACACTTCAGATGCCAGACATTATGGTAAGTGGTTTATGTTAATCTGTCCAGTCATCACAAGAACCCCATAAGTAGGAACTTGTATTCTCCCCAGAATTCCTTACAGATAAGGAACCGGAAATATGAGGGGAAAAAACCACTTGCCAAAGGTCACAGAGATAGCAAGCAGTAGCAATAGGATATGAACCCTGCAAATTTGGTTCTGTGATCCCAACTCTAACACTTTGAAATCTGACTGCAGGGTATTTTCCCTCTGTGATTGATGCTTATGGGCACCTGGGCCTGGGGGTTTTCTATTGTTGTTAATTGTTTCTTCATCTCTGCATAAGCCAAGCAGGATTTTTCAGACCATTGATTATGTTTATGGAATCTTGTTCTATTTGGCTCTTTGGAGAGTAGGTTTATTGACTAAAGGAGTGGTACACATCCTATATTTAACCAGCCTGGTCTATTAACCAGCCTGTTCTACAAGAGCTACTTCCAAGACAGCTTCCAAAGCCACAGAGAAACCCTGTCTCAGAGAGAGAGAGAGAGAGAGAGAGAGAGAGAGAGAGAGAGAGAGAGAGAGAGAGAGAGAGAAAGTCTTTTAAAAAAAAACAACACACACACACACACACACACAGAGGGATACATAGAGTCTGTCTCAAGAAAAAAAACCAAAGCAAAAAGCATACACACCAAAACCAAGACCAAACAAAATCAAAAAAACTTTTCTTTACTACTTGGAAATTTGGAACTCCGGGTACCTCCTGGGCTGCGTTCACTCATAATTGGCTCCAATCAAACTCTCTCATTCCTTTTGCTTTCGGAAATCAACAGTTGGGAAATCTTTGCCTGATGAATAAGCAGGGAACACACAGGTGAGTAAGGTCAAAGTCTCATTTCCTGGCTGCTCTGTGACTTCTTTTTCTTGCTAGCATGTGTGTCCTAACCAACTTTACTATGCTTTGCAAGAAAGGAAAACCCCACTGGCTACTTCCTGTTTTCTGTATTGTCTCCTCTGGCTGAACAAAGAAGTTTGGATCAACACAAACAGCCTTCTGTCAAACTTAACGCAGAGAAAGGACTTTTCTAAATGACTCTCCTTCATCCTTCAAGAGGAAGGCAACTGAATTGCTTGATCAGGTACCTCAGGGAGAGGGAATGGGTTTTAAGTCACTTTTAGAACCATTAAAATTTGGGCTTAGGTTCATTGAAGAGGTTTCCCTGAGGTGGATGATTTGTTTGCCCCCGGCGAAACCTTGGGCGTGAAAATGGGCATTGGGAGGGGGGACACCAGGGGTGTTATCTTAGTCTGCCGGGATTGGACTGGGATTTTCTGAGTTGATGTTTAAAAGTTTCTTGATCCCTAGGGTGCATTTATATTTGCTCTGTGACAAAGAATTTGAAAATGCTTTTTGGCACTATAGAAAGGAAACCCAGAGCTGACAGGGAGAAGGAAACTGCTTGGTCTGCCAGGCTCCTGAGCCACCGACAAGATACTTTAATTTGGACAGAGAAGTGAAGAAAATCCCTGATTGTGGGCCAGTGTTTATAGGAAGCGCGTTACAGACCCCATTGTGTGATGAGGTGTTTCCAGTTACCTCAGTGACGTTAGTAACCCAGTGTAGAGTGAAAAATGTGGCAGAGACCTGCTGGACCTAGGATCTAACCTGGTCGGCTGTCCCTGCTCCTAACAGCTCGGCACCCTTCTGTCAAACTGCTCATGGTTTTTAAGTGTTGGCTTTAATTGGTGTAAATTCATTGTAAACAATACCTGGACGTTTTCATATAAGTGCATACTGTTTTTTGAGTATTACCCACTCCTGCGCCCTCCTTGCCTCCGGGTTTGTGTTCCTCCAGGTTCCCATGAGTTCTGCTTGTGCCCCTAGACAGTTTCATTTCTTCTTCCCGACAGAGGCATGCCTCCTTTATTTGCATAGCGTTAGCAGTGCTCAGTCAGACTGCTGGAGCCCAAAGGGGACATTCTGGGCTAAAGCATACTTTACTAGGACAGTAGACAACTCACACTGACTTGACTGGACCTCTGCTCCACCTGTTTCTGTGTTTAATCGTCACAATAGTCTAGGCTTGGGGCAGATAATACGAATGCTAATATTTCAGTAAAGAAAGCATAATCCAGAGGCTGGGGAGAGGCTCAGGGAGTAGGGGCACTTGTCACTAAGCTCCCTGGACAGAATTTGATCCCCGGGACCCATATACTATTCCAGGAGAGAACTGATTAACAACTTGTCCTCTAATCTCTACACAAAAGTTGTGGCACACACACACACACACACACACACACACACACACACACACACACAGAGTCACTGAAAAAAAAATTACAAAGCATGAAGTATGTCCCAGGCAGATCCAATAACACACTTAGAAGCAGCCACATCATCATCACCATCATCATCATCATCACCATCATCATCATCATCATTATTCTACAGTTATTCTGAGGATACCTTGGTGGGAGGGAGGATTTTCAGGGCACGAGCCCAAGCCTAGGTGGTCAAACTGACTACAGCCCTTTTTTTGTTGAATTTTTAAAAAGAATTAATTTTTTTTAAAGATTCTTTTAGGCAGGCAGTGGTGGCACAGGCCTTTAATCTCAGCACTCAGGAGACGGAGGTGGGTAGATCTCTGTGAGTTACAGTGAGTTCCAGGACAGCTAGAGTTGTTACACAGAGAAACAAACAAACAAACAAAAAAACCCAAAGATTATTTTAATAGTGTGCGTGTGTGTGTGTGTGTGTGTGTGTGTGTGTGTGTGTGTGTGTGTGTGTGTTCCTGTGTACATGAGTGCAGATATCCATGGAGGCAGTTGTGAGTTGCCAAATTTGAATGTTGGGAACCTAACTAAAGCCCTCTGCAAGAGAAGTATGTGTTCTTTTTTATCCTTAAAATGTATTTATTTATGTTTTTTTTAAGTTTCTTGGGGGCTAGGGGTGTGTTTTGAGACAGGGTTTCTCTGTGTAGCCATGGCTTTCTTGGAACTAGCTCTGTAGACCAGGCTGACCTTGAACTCACAGAGATCCGCCTGCCTCTGCCTCCCAAGTGCTGGATTTAAGGTATGTGCCACCACTACCTGGTTCATGGGTATAGATTCTGATGTTACTAGGAAATATAGTCTCACAGCAAAGTCCTTGATCCTCTGGCTTTTACAATTTTCCCACCCCCCTCCCAAGATTTATTTATTTCTAAATTTATTTTCATGTGCATTTGTGCTTTGCCTGCACATATGTCTGTGTAAAGGTGGATCCCCTGAAACTGGAGTTACAGGCACTTATAAGCTGCTGTGTGGGTGCTGGGAATGTACCTGTCCTCTGGAAGAACACTCAGTGTTCTTAACTGCTCTGCCATCTCTCCAGCCTCGATTGATTTGTTTTTAGTTCAAGTGTTTTGCATGCCTGTCTTTATATACACCCTGTACATGCCTGATGTTCTATGAGGCCAGAATAGGATATCCTGTGTCTAGAGTTATAGATGTGGGTGCTGGGAACTGAACCAAGGCCCTGAACCTGTCTGCATGAACGACAGTGCTCTCTCTTTTTTTTTTTTTTTTTTTGGTTTTAACAACAGTGCTCTAAGTGCTGAGCCATCTCTCCAGCCCCCACAGCCTAGTCTGTACATCAGTGGGTAACTCAGAGCACATGAGATCCAGGTTTTGTGTTGATTTTATGCTCAAAAGCAATTAATAGCCGGGCGGTGGTGGCTCACACCTTTAATCCCAGCACTCGGGAGGCAGAGGCAGGCGGATCCCTGTGAGTTCGAGGCCAGGCTGGACCGACAGCCTCCAAAACAATACAGAGAAACCCTGTCTCGTAAAAAAAAAAAAAAAAAAAAGCCAGGCGTTGGTGGCGCATGCCTTTAATCCCAGCACTCGGGAGGCAGAGGCAGGAGGATCTCTGTGAGTTCGAGGTCAGCCTGGTCTAAAGAGCGAGTTCCAGGACAGCCTCCAAAGCCAAAGAGAAACCCTGTCTTAAAAAACCAAAAAAAAAAAAAGCAATTAATAGGGGGAGGGGGAGAAGCAATTAATAATTAGTTAATTGACCCTGATGTGGTTCTCTGTTGTCATTCTGTTGGTAAGAACAATATTTCCAGTATCCAAACTGAATATTAACCCTTAGCATCTTCAGGATAATCTGAGCTCTTTTTCCCAGGTGAACCATGCAGTTACTTTAATTGATGGCTTTCGTGGTCAAGTGAGTAGGTGACCCACTCTGGGGAGAGTTGATTCTGTTGATGTGAAAACATAGGAAATCTATGGTTTCTTTCCATGCTTTCTTTCTTTCTTTTTTATCTTCTATTCGCACTTTAACTTGACCAGCCAGTGGAGGACTCTTCCCTCTTCTAGGGATGGCAGCTATTTTCTTGGTTGCTGTTCTATCCCTGTGAAAAGACACCATGACCACAGCAACTCTTTTTTTTTTTGAGACAGGGTGTCTCTGTATTGTTTTGGAGGCTTTCCTGGAACTACCTCTTGTAGACCAGGCTGGCCTCGAACTCACAGAGATCCGCCTGCCTCTGCCTCCCGAGTGCTAGGATTAAAGGTGTGCGCCACCAACACCAGGCCCACAGCAACGCTTATAAAAGGGAGGGTTTAATTGAAACTTGATTACACCTCTAGGGGTTTAGTCAGTTGTCATCATGGCAGCATGCAGGCAGACATGGTGTTGGGGAAACAGATGAGAGTTTTACATCCAGATCAGCAGTTCCAGGAAGAAAGACACTGAGCTTGGCTTCCAACTATGCCACATCTACGCCAATAAGGTCATACCTCCCAATCCTTTCAAAGAATTCTACTTCTGGATGACTAAGCATTTAAGTATATGAGCCTATGAGGCCACCATAGATATGAATGGGTGAATTCACTGTAGTGAGTCTTTCTATGTGCCAGACACTGCCTTTGTATCACAGATAAGCCTGTCAGTGGTAGATCTGGAATCCAAGTCCAATCCTAGCACGAGACTAGACCTTTGCTTGTTCCCCTCGGCTACCCCTACTCTGTTTTCTGTCTACAAATGGCCTTTTAACTTCCTGGTGATAGACCAGTAGGGTTTTTTCTTTCATATTTGATATTTCAATCTCATTTGTTCACTTGGTTCCACTTGATCATGGTGGTGTATCTGTAGGTAAGGAGTCCAGACATTTTGGGTTCTCATTTGGATTTGGTCATAAATAGCTCACCTTCAGTAAGTTAGTGTGTGACTGTATGTATATGTCTGTGCCTCTGTGTGTTTCTGTGTGTATGTCTGTGTGTGTGTGTGTCTGTATCTGTGTGTGTGTGTATGTCTGTATGTGTGTGTCTGTCTCTGTGTGTGTGTATCTGTGTCTCTGTGTGTGTGTGTTTATGTGTGTCGTTGAGTCAGTATGTGTGTGTGTGTGTGTGTGTGTGTGTGTACATGTAGAATCCAGAGGCCAATGCCAGGTGTCTTCCTCAATTACTCTCTACCTTTTTGTTCCTGACAGAGTGTTTTGGTACCACTAGTTAACTGGCCAGTGAGCCTGACTCTAGCTGCCTTCAAAACCAGGGACAGATTTTGCATGGTTGCTGGGGATAGAGATCAGGTCCTCACCTTCTACAGCCAGGACTTGAGTCGCCCCTGAGCAGGTTGGCACAGTTTGAGCCTCTGTCATCTCTCATTGGGCAAGAAGCACTGATGTGAGAGGAAGCCACGTCAGTGTCTCCATTGGACGTCTCCGTTTGTGTTTTGCTAGCACTGGCTTCATGGGAAGGAGAAGTCTTTGGCATTCCCATTTGGAAAAAAAGATATCTTCTACTGAGATCTAGAAAAGTGGAGAGCTTTGATTCAGAACAAGTAAGTACCCTACAAACAATATCTGTCTAGTTATGTCTACTGATGGTATTAAATGGAAGAGCAGTCCACGCTTTCACCTGACCGTTCGTCTGTGGGATTCCCAACTAAATACTCTTACTTTGTCTTGAGAATTTATTTAAAACTATGGCAAGCCTAAGGAAAAGAGATGATAGATGGGGCAAGACTTAAAGAATGGCCCAGTTGTATTTAAACGGTTCGTTCTGAACATTACCTGTTCAGTCATAACTTCCCTCTGGACTTCAGAACTCTATATCCAGTCACTTCAGAGAAATGGAGCAGACCTAAATGATACCCAAATTAACTGTTTTCATTTGGATGCCAGTGTGCTATCCAGTAGCCACTTAGGGCTATTTAACTGTGAACTGAAACATTAAAACTCAATTTGCTGGCCGGGTGTTGGTGGCTCACACCTTTAATCCTAGCACTTGGGAGGCCAAGGCAGGCAGATTCTGTGAGTTTGAGACCAGTCTGGTCTACAGAATGAGTTCCAGAACAGACTCCAAAGCAATACAGAGAAACCCTGTCTCAAAAACCAAAAAACAAAACTTAATTTACTGTAAACCCTGTTGTACATGAGGGCACAGTATTGCACACCCTAATTCTAGCATTTGGGGAGCAAAGACAAATGAATCTCTGTTGAGTTCAAAGCCAGTCTGGTCTATAGAGTGAGCTCCAGGACAGCCAGAGCTGCATAGAGAGACCTGTTAGAGGAGGAGAGAGGAGGAGAAGGGGGAGGAGGAGAGAAAAACATCTTTAATTACATAATATAGAAACAACTATCCATCTGACAGTTACAACCAGGTTAGTCATGGGTCATGGCTGTATCTTATAGCTCCATGGTTAAGTTATATAGCATGGAGATAACCCCCTGGCAAGTGATAGTACTATCTTATATTTAGAATATCATAGTATACATATAATTAAATGGTATACTTTTTTTGTTTTTTGAGACAGGGTTTCTCTGTATTGTTTTGGAGGCTGTACTGGAACTAGATCTGTAGACCAGGCTGACCTGAAACTCACAGAGATCCACCTGCCTCTGCCTCCCGAGTGCTGGGATTAAAGGCATGATGCCACCACACCCAGCCCATCTTTTTCTTTTTTTTTTAAAGATTTGTTTATTTATTATGAATACAACATCCTGCCTCTATGTATGTCTGCACACCAGAAGAGGACACCAGATCTCATTATGCATGGTTGTGAGCCAACATGTGGTTGCTGGAAATTGAACTCAGGGCCTCTGGAAGAGCAGTCAGTGCTCTTAACCTCCGAGCCATCTCTCCAGCCCCCAGCCCATCTTTTTTCAATATCACAAAGTTTTTGAGTACTAAGAGAACACGGTGTCTTCATTTTAAAATGGGAAGATATCTAGCCTCAGGGAAATTCATACAAAAGGATGGGGGCTGCAGGTCTATCTCTCTGAGACTTATGTGTCTTCTGTCATAAAATAAAAACCAGTAACACAGATTTAGCAGTTTTCTTTTAGGAAGGGTGCAGATGCCAAGGATACAGATGAGACCCCAGAGGGAGAGCAATGGGGCTCCCTCACAGGACTTGTAGACAGCTGCTCTGTTGAGGCTAGCAGGGGGGGATCTGCAATGGTGAGGAGGGGAGCTGGAGTGAGACCCCAGGAGTTGGACTGCCTGGTGGTGCATTTTAGACCAGAGAGGACTTGGTGGCTTTGGGAAGAATGTCTTCACTCTCCAATTGGTCACAAGAGATGGAAAAGTCAGAGGGAGCCTAATGTACAAAGTAAACTTGCAGGCTGAGGGTATAAGACCAGGGGAGACATGCTTTTAAGCTATCACAGAGACAGGACTACAGTACCAGGGCAGTTTTGTCTGTATTTAAGAGTTAGGCCTAGGATTGGGGCTGTAATTTGGTGGTAGAGAGTTGGCTTGAGGTTGTAGGTTCAATCAATCCCCAGGACTGCCAACCAAACCAAACCCCAAAATAGATTAAGTCATTGCAGAGGCTGACTTTTGTGTATACCCACAACACACACACACACACACACACACACACACACACACACACACACACACACACGATAAGACCTCCTTGGAGACTTATCACAAGACAACTTAGACTGGATACTGTGTAATACTTTGTAGTGATCGTTTTTTTTTGGAAAAGACTAAAACTTGTGAACATAAAACACCTATTTCTTTGAGTTGTGACAGGAAGATGAGAACTGAACACGTAGATATATTATTTTGTATGTGATGACAGAAGTGAATCCTAACAACTCCCCAGGGTATACAGACTATGTGCTTTGGTGAAACGTTGACTTTTCAGACTTTTGTTTCCCCGTCAACATATGGCTATATTGAAATTGGCCATGGTGAAAATATCGACTCTCTTTCTGGGCTCAGTAAATGCTACGAAAGGAATATTCTATCCCCAGAGAGTCTGGCTGTTACATAGTTGGCAGTATTTCCGTTGCAATCGAGAGTTGCCAAAGGTTACAGATGCTAGCAAGCGGCACATCCTATGTTGTTGCAGTACCTTTCCCCGGGGGAATGTGAGCACACCCCTAGTCACCCCAGATAGAGCCCCAACAAGAGACTGAAACAACCATTCCACCTCTCTGGTTTGCTGAACCAGTAGGTTTGTTGGTCTTGCTTGTCAGAGGCCAGGTAAAGGGTAACCGTAAATACCCACGTTCCCGCAAGGCCCTGTATCGAGCATGGATGATGACTTCCTGTGCACGTGTCGATAGAGCCCCGCCTCCAGCTACCCTTCCCCTCTCTATTCTCGAACCTCCCAGGTCAGGCTGAAGTTGAGGCATTGAGGCTGGACGGCTGGGAGGGAGACACAGGAGAAAACAGCTAGGACCCCAGTCGGGGGCCTAATGCTCCCCTGGCCCCTCCTCCTCAGGTGCGATGTTGTGAGGGTCTCTTGCTCTGATTAACGGCTCTTGGGCCCTCGTTTTCACTACTGTGACTTCACCGGAGATTTTCTTTTTTCTGGTGTCCTCATTGTGTGTCTCCACCTCCGCACACCATCTTCTGGAGTCAGTTTCCAAAAGTTCCTGGATGCCCTGGAACTCGCTCTGTAGACCAGGCTGGCCTCAAACTCACAGAGATCTGCCTGCCTCTGCCTCCTGAGTGCTGGGATTAAAGGCACGCGCCACAACACCTGGCGCTCACTAGAGACTCCTGTATTAGTGGACAAAATCACCCACCTAACTCCATCACCTGAAACTGCCTTGCTTACTGAGCAAAGATACGGCTGCAGAGTTTTGCAGAGCACTTCTGTTTTTGGGTTTTGTTCTGTTTTTTGGTTTTCCAAGACAGGGTTTCTCTGTGGTTTTGGAGGCTGTCCTGGAACTTGCTCTTGTAGACCAGGCTGGTCTCAATCTCACAGAGATCCGCCTGCCTCTGCCTCCCAAGTACTGGGACTAAAGGTGTGCGCCACCACCACCTGGCTTGTCATTTGTTTTATTTTGTTTTTTGAGACAAGGTTTCTTTGTGTAAATGCCCTGGCTGTCTTGGAACTTCCTCTGTAGACCAGGCTGGCCTCGAACTCACAGAGATCCGCCTGCCTCTGCCTCCCAAGTGCTGGGACTAAAGGTATGTGCCACCAGCGACCGGCTTGCAGAGCACTTCTTTTTTTAAAATAATTATTTATTTTTTTTATTTTATGTGCATTGGTGTGAGGGTTCAGATCCCCTGGAACTGGAGTTACAGACAGTTGTGAGCTGCCATGTGGGTGCTGGAAATTGAACATAGGTCCTCTGGAAAGGCAGCCAGTGCTCTTAACCACTGAGCCATCTCTCCAGCCCCTGAAGAGCACTTCTTGAAGACCTGAATGTCAAGCATCTCAATAATTCAAGATGGGCCTAAGGGAAAAAAATGCAGCCTGATGCGCTGGTGACAGATACGTGTATTTCACGTTGGTTAAAATAAATAAATGAAGCCGGGCGTTGGTGGCGCACACCTTTAATCCCAGCACTCGGGAGGCAGAAGCAGGCGGATCTCTGTGAGTTCGAGACCAGCCTGGACTACCGAGCGAGTTCCAAGACAGCCTCCAAAGCCACAGAGAAACCCTGTCTCGAAAAACCAAAAATAAATAAATAAATAAATAAATAAATGAACAAATATTTACCTGTGTCTCCTCAGTGAACTTCATAAAGGAAAACAGTCAAGCCCTTATTCAAAGGATGAACATCACAGTTACGAAGCAAATCTCAGATGAGCTTTTCGTATGGAACGTTCTCAACTGTGAAGAAATGGCCAACGTTTGCTGTGAGAAGGTAGAGCAGGATGCCGCTCGAGCGATCGTTCACATGATTCTGAAGAAGGGTCCAGAGGCCTGCAGCCTCTTCCTGAAGTGTCTCGAGAAGTGCGACTATGCTGTGTATCAGGACTTAACCGGACAAAGTAAGGGTTGCTTTGCTCACCTGTCCCACACTGAGAACACAAGCCATTCAGGGTGCCTACAGTCCCTTCTGTGCAATGTCCTCGGCCCTTGTGCGCTGGCCAGGGTCTTTGAGTCATTCACAGTAGACATTTGACGGTGAAGCTTATGTCAGTAATCCCAGAGCTGGGCACGAAATGAGTTAAGTGTAGTCTCACTTCAGAGGACAACTGGAATGCTGAGTGTGTGGAATTGGCTACCGTGGGCTCTTTGGGGAGACTGAGGCAGGTGGATTAGGAGATTGAAGCCAACCTGGGATATATATCAAGACTCTGCCTAAAAAGAAAGAAAAGAAGTGTTTAGCTATCGAGAACACAAACAGACGAAGCCAGCAATCCCTCGTCAGTCATCTGTGGTGAGTGGCCCTGGCAACTGTCGTGTTGCGGTGCCGAGGGAACGTGACCACTCCAATTTCCAAGCACCAGTAATGTCATCAGCAGCAAGCTGAACCACCAGTTCCTCATGTTAACTAAGTGACTACACTGCATAACTGGTTGAATTTCACCCCACCCCACATTCTCACTCTCCTTAGCTGATTCCACAGTGAGAAGGGGAGGGAAGGTAGAGAGGAGGAATGAGAAGGGAAGGGTGTCAGGGGAAATCCATGGGTACTTGGAGCCTGTGTGGTGTCTTAGAACAAGAGCATCAAAGTCAGCCCTCTGCCGTTCACCCCCCCCCCCCAGCCCTGGGCTTCAGGGGTGTCTCAGTTAGGGTTTCTATTACTTTGATAAAACACCAAGGCCAAAGGGCAAGTTGGGGAGGAGAGGGTTTGTCTGGCTTATGCTTCCGTATCACTGTTTGTTACTGAAAGAATTCAGGACAGGAACTCAAACAGGACAGCATCCATACGCAGGAGCTGATGCAGAGGCCTTGGAAGGATGTTGCTTACCAACCTGCTTCCCCCTGGCTTGCTTAGTCTGCTTTCTTATAGAACCCAGGACCAACAGCCCAGGGGTGGCCCCACCCCCATTGGTCACTAACTGAGAAAATGCCTTAGAGCTGGATCTCATGGAGGCATTTCCTCAGCCAAGGCTCCTTCCTCTGATGACTCTAGCTTGTGTCAAGTCGACACACGAAACCAGCCAGCACAGAGGCAATGCCGAATCACGTCCTCTTTAATAGCGTCTCTTCTCTGACAGGTATTTTTCATCAGAGCACAGAGGAAGACTTGGATATCTTGGCTCAGAATTTAAAATACTTATACAACAGCCCCGCCTTTCTGAATTTCTATCCTCTGGGTAGAGACATTGACATCATTTTTAATCTGAAGATCACCTTCACAGAACCCGTCCTGTGGAGGAAGGACCATCGTCATCATCGAGTGGAGCGGCTCACCCTGGGCAGTCTGCTGGAGGCTCTTCAGAGCCCCTGCCTCATCGAAGGGGAGTCTGGCAAAGGGAAGTCCACCCTGCTGCAGAGAATTGCCATGCTCTGGGCCTCTGGGGAGTGCAAGGCTCTGAACAGGTTCAGGTTAGTCTTCTTTGTCCGCCTGAGCAGCGCAGAGCGCGGGCTGCTTGAAACCGTGTGTGATCAGCTCCTGGATGTACCCGACTCCATTAGCAAGCGAGGGTTCATGGCTATGCTGATGAGACTGCAGCAGGAAGTCCTCTTTCTCCTTGATGGTTACAATGAATTCCAGCCCCAGAAATGCCCAGAAATCGAAGACCTGATAAAGCAGAACCATCGTTTCAAGAACACGGTCATTGTCACGACCACCACCGAGTGCCTGCGACACATCAGGCACGTTGGCGCCCTGACTGCGGAGGTGGGGGATATGACAGAAGACAGCGCCCAGGTTCTCATTCGAGAAGTGCTGATCAAGGAGCTGGCTGAGGGCCTGCTCCTCCAGATCCAGGTGTCCAAGTGCCTGAGGAATCTGATGAAGACCCCTCTCTTCGTGGTGATCACCTGTGCAATCCAGATGGGCAGGAAGGAGTTCAAAGATTACACCCAAACCACGTTGTTCCGAACCCTCTACGACCTCCTGATAAAGAAAAACAAGCACAGACACCAGGGCGGGACTGAGGGTGACTTTCTCAGGAGCCTGGACCGCTGCGGAGACCTGGCACTGGAAGGCGTGTTCTCCCACAGGTTTGCTTTTGAACCTGAGGACCTGTCCAGCATGAACGAGGACGTCCTGGTGACGACTGGGCTCCTCTGTAAGTACACAGCTCAGAGGCTGACACCCAAGTATAAATTCTTTCATAAATCCTTCCAGGAGTACACAGCGGGACGAAGACTTAGCAGTTTGTTGATTTCCAGAGAACCAGAGGAGGTGAGCAAGGGGAATGACTACTTGAAGAAAATGGTTTCCATCTCGGACATCACATCTCTGTATGGCAATCTGCTCCTGTATACATGCGGCTCATCCCCAGAGGCAACCAGAGCTGTCATGAGGCACCTTGCGTTGGTGGAGGAGCATGGCAGCTTACAAGGACTTTCTGTCACCAAGAGGCCCCTCTGGAGGCAGGAATCTGTACAGAGCATGAGAAACACCACCGAGCAAGATGATCTGAAAGTCATCAACATAAATTCTTTTGTAGAGTGTGGCATCAACCTATTCTTGGAGAGCGTATCTGAGTCAGCCCTGAGTCAAGAATTTGAAGCTTTCTTTAGTGGTAAAAGTTTGCACATAGACTCAGAGAGCATCCCTGACTACTTATTTGACTTCTTTGAACACTTGCCTAACTGTGTAAGCGCCCTGGACTTCGTCAAGCTCATCTTCCATGGGAGAGCCTCTGTTTCACAGGACAAAGCCGCGGAGAGCAGTCCTGGAGTCTGCATGGAAGGCCCCCCTGAAACCTACATTCCCAGCAGGGCTGTGTCTTTGTTCTTCAACTGGAAGCAGGAATTCAGGACTCTAGATGTCACACTCCGGAATATCAGCAAGCTGGACAAACAAGATATCAAGTATCTGGGGAAGATATTCAGCTCCGCCACAAACCTCCGGCTGCACATCAAGAGATGCGCGGCTGTGGCTGGAAGCCTCAGCGCTGTCCTCAGGACCTGTAAGAACATCCACTCCCTCGTGGTGGAAGCCAGTCCCCTGACCAGAGACGATGAGCAGCACATCGCCTCTGTGACAACCCTGCGGAACCTGAACATTTGCCACCTGCAGACCGCACGGCTGCCAGGTATGGGTGTGACGTGAGTGCGTGATCAGGACGGGCTGGAGCAGTGCCCGTGCTAGATGGCACCGAGGTGTCTAGAATAGGCTCTGATGCTCTTCACCTCCTGGGTGCACCCCGGAGCCTGGCTCACCTTCTCTGTATGTCCTCCGTCCATCATTTCAGCTGCCCTGAGCCTCCCTGTGATTCCTGCTCCAATCGCAATCTGGAAGTGCTCAAGTGCCAAAGATTTACATATTTTATCTCTCCTCTCCTCTTCTTCCCTCCCCTTCCCTCCCCTCTCTCCTCCTCTCCCCTCTCTTCTCCTGTTCTTCTTTCTCTCCTTTCTTATCTTCTTATCTTCTCTTGTCTCCTCCCCATCCAGTTCTCTCCCCTCTCCTCTTCTTGTTCCTTTTTCAGTGTATAGCCCAGGCGGCCTCACACCCACTGCAATCCTCCTGCTTCAGCCTCCCAAGGGCAGGGATTATAGACATGAGCACCACAACCTGCCACCTTTTACCTTTCTGTTTAATTCCATTATATTTGGACAGCGTGCTTATAGCTGAGCCCACCACCTGTTTTTGACAAAATATCCACGTTTATGTGAATATCGTGAGCACTTGGTGCCCTTTGTGATAACTAAAACCTTCCGATTGGTAATAGGATTGACAGTGGTGGTAAACAGGACAGGGCCAGCGAGGGTCATGTGCTGTTCTGTGTTCTTTTGGCAGGCGGTCTGATTGACAACTTGGGTAATCTGAAGAACCTCGTGAAGCTCGTCCTGGAAAACATTAGGATGAACGAGGAAGATGCTAAAAACCTAGGTCAGATTTTTGTTTCTTTAATAGTCTTTGTTTTTAAATTATTTATTTATTTTTAAAATTTTATGTGCATTGGTGTTTTGCCTGCATGTATGTGTGACACTGTCGGGTCGCCTAGAACTGGAGTTACAGACAGCTGTGAGATGCCAAGAGGGAGCTGGGAATTGAACCTGAGTCCTCTGGAAGAGCGGTCAGTACTCTTAACTGCTGAGCCATCTCTCTAGTCCCTCTTTAATACTGTTGTTAGTATAGGTATGATGATAAGAATGGTTAGTTTAACCATTATTTAGCACGGGCAGCATTTGTAGAAGGCAAGATCCTTATGTGTGTGGGAGGGGCATCCGCATGTGTGAGGTATGGTGGTTTGAGTAAGAACAGCCCCCATAGGCTCCTAGATTTGAATGCTCAGTCACCAGGGAGTGGAACTCTTTGAAAGGATTAGAAGGATCAGGAAGTGTGGCTTTGTTTGGAGGAGGTGTGTCACTGGGGGTGGGCTTTGAGGTTTCAAAAGTTCATGGCAGGCCGTCTCTCTCTCCCTGCTGCCTGGGCATCAGAATGGAGCACTCTCAGCTCCTTCTCAGCACGATGTCTGCCTGTGTGCTGCCACGCTCCCTGCCATGATGATAAGGAAATACTAAGGCAAGCTTTTGTAACAGTAAGCCAGTCCCAATTAAATGCTCCCCTTTGTAAGACTTGTCATGGTCATAGTGTCTCTTCACAGCAATAGGACAATGGCTGAGGAGGTCACAGGATAACTATGGAGTCTGTCCTTGCCTTCCAACTTTTGCGATTGTGCCTTTTTGTTGTCTGTTGCTGTACTCTGCACATGTAGCTTGATGGCCCACAAGTTCCTGGGGATTCCCTTGTCATCACCTGCCACTCACTGTAGGAACACTGGGATTAAAGATGCACGCCACATGTTTAACTCTGAGTTCTGGGGATTTGAATTTCGGTTTTTGTGCTTGTGTGTACTCACTGAGCCATCTCCCCGGCCCTAGTAATCTTTTTTTGTTTGTGTCAAGACAGGATTTCTCAGTAGCTATGGAGCCAGTCCTGGAACTCACTCTGTAGTCCAGACGGGCCTTGAATTCACAGAGATCTGCCTGCCTCTTCCTGCCTGTGATGGATTGAAGGTGTGCAACACCACAGCCCGGGTCCTAGGACAAGCCGTCAGCAGCATTTCATTGAAACTGTACCCATTTATGTGTGACCTTTTTTAGAGAGAAAGTCATCAATTGTTTAATTTCCCTTGGTGATTTAAAAGTTTGGAGTTGTCTCATTAACAAAACTTTCAAAGAGAAATGAGATGCAGGAAAGCATGAGCCCAGGAACCAAATCAGATCTCACGTCTTGCCCCAGAACCCAGGGCATCGCGAACGGGGAAGGTGGAGCGGAAGCCTCCTTTCTGCAATGCCCCTGCTTTCCTTTCTCCTCCTCCTCCTTATTTCTGCCTTCGTTCTTTTGTTCTCTCTCTTCCCTCCTGAGCCCTCCGTAAAATGTTCCTCTCTTTGTTCAGCCCTGTTCTTTTTTTTTTTTTTTTTTTTTTTTTTTTTTTGGTTTTTCGAGACAGGGTTTCTCTGTATTGTTTTGGAGACTGTCCTGGAACTAGCTCTGTAGACCAGGCTGGCCTCGAACTCACAGAGATCCGCCTGCCTCTGCCTCCCGAGTGCTGGGATTAAAGGCGTGGGCCACCAACGCCCGGCTCAGCCCTGTTCTTAGCTTCACTTCCTGCCCAGCTATAACTCTGTGCAATAACTAAAGTGTGTTTGGCCTCCTACTCCTTATATAATAATCAAACTAATTTAGAATTCAGTGAATGCACAGTGCACACCTATGGGTTCCACAGACTGTCAGAACTGGGAATGGCCTCTGCACATCTGCTTCAATGCAGTAGTCACCTTGTAGAAGGTCACCCGTTCCAATTTGCCCAGGCTCTCAGGAGCACTCCCCAGTGTGCTTGCATTATTAAAGAATCCAAATGTAGCCAGGTGTGATGATTAAACTCCTATTTTCTCTGCTCCAGGGAGGCCGAAGTGGGAGATCAGGAGTTTGGGGCTAGCCTTGGCTACAGAGTGAGTTCCAGGCAAACTGGGCCTAAATTAGAACTCAAAAACAAACAAACAAAAAAACAACAACCATGGCTGGAGAGATGGCTCAGCAGTTAAGAGCACTGGCTGTTCTTTCAGAGGTCCCGAGTTCAATTCCCACATGGTGGCTCACAACCATCTATAATGAGATCTGGTGCCCTCTTCTGGCCTGCAGGCATGCATGCAGGCAGAACACTGTATACATAATAAATAAATCTTTAAAAAAGTTAAAACAAACAAACAAACAAAAAACAGTCAAAACCTGCCAGGTGTGGTGACACATTGCCATTACTCCCAGCTCTCAGGGGCAAAGGCAACTCTCTATGAGTTCAAGGCCGTCCTAGACTATAAATTAAATTCCAGACCAGCCAGGGCTACATAGTAAGACCCTGTCTTAAAAAACAAAACAAAAATCAGCCAAACAAAAACAGGACCCAGAGATGGCCGTATCCTCTGAGATGGCTCTGAGGGTGTAGCATTTGCAACCAAGCCGGAGGTGAATCTCCAGGATGGAAGGAAAGAATCGTCTACTGTACGTTTTCCTGGCTTCTTCTCTGGTGCCATGACACACACGCTCCCTCATGCAAATAAAGACACAGAACAAAATATCTTAAATACTTTATTTTATGTGCATTAGCTTGAAGATATCAGATCCTAGGGAACTAGAACTACAGACAGTTGTGAGCTGCCATGTGGGTGCTGGGAATTGAACCTGAGTCCTCTGGAAGAGCAATCAATGCTCTTAACTACTAAGCCATCTCTCCAGTCCCATAAAAATATTTTTAAATAAAAACTAAGGAATTATAAGCCGGGAGGTGGTGGCACATGCCTTTAATCCCAGCACTCGGGAGGCAGAGGCAGGCGATCTCTTTGAATTCCAGACCAGCCTGGTCTACAAGAGCTAGTTCCAGGACAACCTCCAAAGCCACAGAGAAACAACCCTGTCTTGAAAAACCAAAAAAAAAAAAACAATAAAATAAAATAAAAAGGGGCTGGAGAGATGGCTCAGAGGTTAAGAGCACTAACTGCTCTGCCAGGGGTCCTGAGTTCAATTCCCAGCAACCACATGGTGGCTCACAGCCATCTACAATTCAATCCAGTGTCCTAGCATATAGGCAGAACACTGTATATGTAATAAACAAATAAATCTCTAAAAAAAATAAAATAAAAAGAAGAAGAAGAAGAGGAATCAAAATCTGATTGTGAGGAAACCAGTATTGCTGGGCAGTGGTAGTCTTTAACCCCAGCACTTGGGAGCCAGAGGTACTTAGATCTCTGAGTTCAAGGCCAGCCAGGTCTACAGAGTGAGTGAGTGAGTCTACACAGTGAGTGAGTTCCAGGACAGTCGGGGCTACATAGAGAAACCCTGTCTCAAGCAAGAAACCAGTATGATGATATTAGTAATAATTGCTATGTACTGAAGAGTTACTGCACACCAGGTCAGCAACTACTGTATATGGAGTTCACACTTTATCTCATCAAATATTCACAAGAGCCCTAGTATGTAGGACTAATGCCCCCCTACAACTGAAATGGGGCATCACTTGTCTCTGTTTATAAAGTATGGAATAGTGAATCTAGAAATCTGAAGGACCACAAAGCTCACGTATACACCTCCCGTCACATCAGTCAGCATTTACTGAGGCCTTACTGTGTTTGCTATACCTAGTGAATGTATCGCATACGTTATCTGCAATTTCCCCTAAGCTCCAAATCACGGGATTGATAAACGATCTGAGGGATGCTCCTCAAGGGTAGAGAGAGCACTTGCCTAGCCTGGGTAAAAGCTCCAGTACCAAGGAAGTGGAGGAGGCGACAGACAGGACCCAGACAGTCACTGTGCATTTCCTTCATGTGTACCGTTGACTCAGGATAAATGTATTGACGATTGAAGTGTCACCTAATCCTTCCTGAATGTCACAGCAAACTCGGAAGAGAGAACATGCCTGGAATCTAGCTGCAGGGCAGCTTCAGCAGGAGGCTTCTGAATTTAAGGCCCGCCTGGGCTGGATAGCAAGAAATGCTAACAAAGAAATGCATTATTTTTTTTTGATTTTTTGAGACAGGGCTTCTCTGTGGTTTGGAACCTGTCCTGGAACTTGCTCTGTAAACCAGGCTGATCTCGAACTCATTGGTGTGCGCCACCAATGCCCAGCCATTAATGTAACTTTTTTTAAATGTTTTTTTTTATTTTATTAAGATTTATTTATTTATTATGCATACAGTGTTCTGTCTTCATGTATCCCTGCAGGCCAGAAGAGGGCACCAGATCTCATTACAGATGGTTATGAGCCATCATGTGGTTGCTGGGAATTGAACTCAGGACCTCTGGAAGAGCAGCAGCCAGTGCTCTTAACCTCTGAGCCATCTCTCCAGCCCGTAACTTTTTTTTTTTTACTTTTTTTTTACGAGACAAGGTTTCTCTGTATTGTTTCGGAGGCTATCGGTCCAGCCGGCCTCTAACTCACAGAGATCCGCCTGCCTCTGCCTCCCGAGTGCTGGGATTAAAGGCGTGCGCCACCATCGCCCAGCCCAGCCCGTAACTTTTAAAAGGAAAAAAAGAACACTAACCCATTTCTTCATTGTTGTCTTCCTTCCATTCCACAAATCCTGTTTTAACCAGACAAACATGGTCTGCTCATGTATTCCTTTCCTTTTTCCTTGTAGCCAAAGGCCTGGGAACCCTAAAGAGGATTCGCTTATGTCATCTGATTAATTTGTCTGACCTTGGGGAGGGGATGGATTCCGTAATTGAGTCTCTGTCGGGAGAACCCTGTGACCTACAAGAGATGAAGTTGGTGGCCTGCTGTCTGACGGCAAATTCGGTGAAAACTCTAGGTAACCCTCACGTCCACTCCCTGGATATACAACAGAACACTTGACCTTGTTTGCATTAATGAGCTTTGTCCAAGTCAGAATTAAAATTATTAGAGGCAATAACAGAGGGTTGCAGAATAGCTGACAGTATCATAACCTTAAGAGAAAGTGAAAAGTAATATTTAAAAAATTTTTTTCTGTGTCTTGGAACACACCCTCCCAAATTTCCACCATCTTTGTCATAGTGCTACCCTGGGTAGATGGGCAGACAAATGATGGAGGAGAAGAGGTCCCCAGTGTGACTAGGCTCCTTTACTCTTCCCTTTACTCTGTTAAAATGGACGTAGGATACAGTGATGCAACACTTCGGTCTTTTGAGTTCCCAAGTGTCATGCATACCGATTCTAGAGAAACATTCGCATATTTCTGAAGAAGCTGTTCAGTTCAGACTTGTCTTAAAATTTAGAGTTTGGTTGGTGGCGCACGCCTTTAATCCCAGCACTTGGGAGGCAGAGGCAGGCGGATCCCTGATGAGTTCGAGACCAGCCTGGTCTACAAAGTGAGTTCCAGGACAGCCTCCAAAGCCTCAGAGAAACCCTGTCTCAAAAAAACAATAAAAAATTTAGAGTTTGGGGGCTGGAGAGATGGATCAGCAGGTAGGAGCACTGACCGTTCTCCCAAAAGACTTAGGTCTCACTCCTGGCACCCCATGGCAGTTCACCAGCATCTGTAACTTCAGTCCTGGGGATGCTATGCCCTCTTCTGGCCCCTGAGGACACCAGGCGCACATGTGCACAGACACATGCAGGCAACACATCCAGACATGAAGTCATTCTTTTTCTTTTAGAGACAGGGCTTCTCTGTATAGCTTTGGAGCCTGTCCTGGCACTCGCTCTGTAAACCAGGCTGGACTCGAACTCACAGAGATCTGCCTGGCTCTGCCTCCTGAGTGCTGGGATTAAAGGCATGTGCCACAACGGCCCGGCTACATGAAGTAATTTTTAAAAACCTAGATTTTGGAAAATCGATACTTTAATCTTTTAATTTTATTCATTTGCTTTTTGAGACAGGGTCAATATCTCTGGCTGATTTGGAACTTGCTATGTAGATCAGTCTAGCCTGGAACTCATAGAAATCCCCCTGCCTCATGAATGCACCATCACAGCTGTCCTAAGCATCTGAAAACCAGTCTATGGGGTCTGGCGATGACTCGGAGGTCAAGAGAGCTTGCTGCTCTTGCATCGGGCCGACTGACTCTCAACACCCACATTTGGCAACTCACAAAATCCAGCAACTCCAGCTTCAAGGGATTCGATGCCTCCTTCTGGCTTCTGCGAGCAATTGTGCTCATTTGCACATACCCTCACATGGAAACACACATACACTCACACCCAACCACACTCATACTCACACACACACACAATTAAAAAACAAAACTATAAAAGTTCTGGAAATCCATAAATTCATAAAGATTATTATTTTTACTTGATATAAATTTATAGGTAAAGGAGCCCATGGTTGGGAAAGGCTAGACCAATAGTGGGAACATAAAATGATGAGACCTGGCCTTCACATCTCCACTCTCAGTTATAAACTCTCTATAAGGGAAGAGAAAAAATATACACACTGTTGAAAAGCTTTACCTGCCTGCCTATTAAACAGAAATTGACCTTTATCTGCTGTACTAAAATCTACTTGACTTTGATATGAAGTTCCATCTTAGTAATGGTATCTTACTTTTCATATCGCTAATGCCTATCCACTACCTGTCTCAGCCCACCAGGGCCTATGACCTAAGAGACGTCTGACCCTGAAGCTGTGAGAGCAAACCCATTAACAACCATGGAGTTTTTCTCAGTTGTTTGAGACACAGAACAGCACTGAAGATTGAAACCTGCCTCCTTTTAAACAGCTGTGTAACAGTTTATCCCTTCTAAAATACATCAAAAATGTCCAGGTGTGGTGGTGAACACCCTCATTCCCAGCACACAGATGGCAGAGGCAGTGGGAGTTCTGTGAGTCTGAGAGTTCAAGGTCACAAGGCTGCATAGTAAGGTCCTATCTTAATAAACAGAGGTCAGTAAAGAATAAACTACAATGTCATGTCTAGAATTACAAACTCTATATTCTATGCAGCTTCTAAGACTAGGAAATACCTGTCCATTCAGTCAAAGCCATGAAAACCGAGGGGCCCCCATAAGTCAAACAACAGTTTGTATTGTCATCAACAAAGATAACATGAATGCAGAATTCTAAAGATACTGGGAAATGCATATATGGTTACTTGAAAGTCTTTTTTCACTTTTTTTTCTTCTAGCACAGAATCTTCACAATTTGGTTAAACTGAACATTCTTGACATATCAGAAAATTATCTGGAAAAGGACGGAGATGAAGCTGTGCAGGAACTGAGTAAGAGAGATTCTGCTAACAAAGTGCTTTCTCGTATGTGTGCTGGGTGGTTAGAAAACTATAGCCTGAGCCGGGCAGTACTGGCATACACCTCTAGTCGCAGCACTCAGGAGGCAGAGGCAGGCGGATCTCTGTGAGTTTGAGGCCAGCTTGGTCTACAATATAGAGAAACCCTGTCTCTCAAAAAAAACAAAAACAAAAATAAACAAAGAAAGAAAGAAAGAAAACTACAGCCTGCTCCTGGGCCTCTGTGCACATGTGCATCCTACTAAGTCACCTTTCTTAGAGACAATGTCCAGTGCTTTCTTTAGCTGCCATTAAGGAACACAGGGCCGTGTGTAGAGAGAAGCTTTCCCGCCAGCCTGGTTTCAGAGCCGCAACAGTCCCAAATGAACACACAGGAGGCTATATTAATTATGAAGCTGTTGGCCTTGCTTGTTTCTTACTGGCTAGCTCTGACTTAAGTATTTATCCCATAATTGTTAATCTAAGTATTTCTCTTACTGGAGAAGTTTCTGGGCTTCTTATCCCTATGGTGGTTACATATTGACTCCCTGTGTTTCTCCTACCCAGAGTCCTCCTCACTCCTAGTCCCACCTATCTTGCTTCCCTATTGGCCAACAGTGCTTTATTGACATATACACAGGACTTCCCCAACAGCCGTGTCTTCTTTTTTTTTTTAATGTTTATTTAATTTGGGGGTTGGAGAGTAGGTTCAGTGGTTAAGAACACTTGATGCTATTGCAGAGGACCCGAGTTTGGTTCTCAGCATCCCCTTGACATCTCACATTTATAACTCTTGTCCTGGGGATTCTGATGCCATCTTAGGAGTTCTGTGGGTACCAGGCACAGATGGGTACACATACATAAATGCAGGCGAAATACTCATAACAAAAAAACTATCTGTGTGAGTGTACCTACAGAGGCCAGAAGAGAGTATTGGATCTGCTAGAGCTGGAGTTATAGCATTATGAGCCATTTGCTGTGGGGTCCAGGATGGGATTCAGGTCCTCTACAAGAGTAGTGCATGCTCTTAACTGTTGACCCATTTCTCCAAGGCCAAGCCTGTGTCTCTTGAGTCATCAGTTTGTATATCTTCATTGTACCTGAAGCTCTTCCAGTTTGCCAACAACAAGGAAGCAAGGGTTTGATGCTGATGACAAATTTGCTTAAGGAGTTAGTAATACGGCTTTTCCACCCCCAGGCTCATAAATGGATTGGCTTAGACACATATTGTATCAACTTAGTCATCCAAGGACTACAATATTCTTATGCTGTGAGCTCTCAGATGAGCGAAACATTTGGAGATGGATGGCTTCAGCCTGGAACTCTAAGTAGACAGGGTGTCCTTGAAATCATGGAGATCCATCTGCCTCTGCCTCTTGGGTGCTGGCATCAAAAGGATGTTTGTTCTGATAATGTTGTTACGGGAAAATGAAACAGGGAAGCAGCCTTGCTCAGACAGACACCAGAAATGCAGTGGCGGATCAGGAAAAGCTGATCATGGCAGGTTTGTGGACTTCTCTTCCTGACTCTGAGCAACTAACTGGACAGAGGTTACAGTGTATGTAGACTTTTCAGCATTATCGCTAACTATCATTGGCGGGCTTCAGTTTCCATCAAGACCACATGGCAAAGATAAAAACAAGAAATTCAAGCTGGGAATGGCGGTGTATGCTTTAGACCCCAGCACTTGAATAGACAAGTAGATCTCTGTAAGTCTGAGGTCAGCCTGGTCTACATGGTGAGTTCCAAGCCAGTCAGGGCTATATCTCAAAGATAAGAGAGGGGTGTATATGGGGGCGGGGGGTTAGGACATTTTTCTTTTTATAAAACAGGATAACTGCAAGCAGCTTCTTTACCAGATACCTAAATACCATTTCTCCCCGGCGGTCCCTGCAGTTCTGTTTCATGTCTTTGTTTTTGTTCTGACGTTATTTCCTCTTTAAGTTCACTGGGAGTGATAAGATTTTTGAGGCGCTTCAGTGGCACGTGGTTATGACAAAATGACTGATATATGTCTGGAATTCACTTCAGAAAAATACATGAGTCTGGTCAGGATCAAGCAATCTAGCCTATGATTTGTTGTTTATTGAAGGTTCGATTGTTTCATTATTAATACAGTTTATATATTTGGATATTTTCTATAAAAATAACCAAAAATAAGTAGATTCTTGTTAAAGATTGAGTAGCATACAGGGCCACCAAATTTAAACATCGTTCCTTCATCTTCATCCTGCATAGCCTAGATTTTGATTTGGCGTCATTCCTGAATTGTTTTCTGTTTCAAGTTGGCAGGCTCAGCGTTCTGGAACGGCTAACCACATTGATGCTGCCTTGGTGCAGCAATGTGTTCCTCTGCCTCCCCAACCTGTTGAAGCAACTGGAGCTGGTCCCAGGGCTTCTCAAGCTCGGATTGAAAAACTGGAAACTCATGGATGCAGAGATTAGAAGTTTAGGTAGGACCATCCAAACAAAGCCAAGAGAAGGCTGACTTTAAACAAAGCTTCCCCCACCCCACCCCTGAGACAGGCTTTCTCTGTGAAGCCCTGGGTGTCTTGAACTCACTCTGTAGACCAGGCTGGCATCAAACTCACAGACATCAGCCTGTCTCTGCCCCCCAAGTGCTGGGATTATAGGTGTGGGCCACCACCCAGCTTTCTTTCTCTCTCTTATTTACTAGGATCTTATTTCTATTGACTAGTAATCTCTGGAAAAAATATTATTTTTGAAGTTTTTTTCCCTTCCTATGTTGCCTTATGTTATAGTTTGAATATGGTCCCTAAACTCCATGCATAAAACGAGATCCACTGCAGCGGTGCTGGGGGTGGGAACTCAGAGGTGTTTAGGTCATCGGCCTACCCTCCTGATTCGTATTGCAAACTGCTGAAGGCCTTGAGACCAACAGCGTGAGCTCATGCTTGCTTTTTTTCTCCCCTTCTCTTTCTACCGTGGGGAGACAGGAGGCCTTGCCACATTAGTACCTCCACCACCAGTCATTCTGTTTGTTGTAAGTGGTATTGTGTTACAGCAACACAAAACAGACTAATAACACCCCTCTCCCTGGGTGGTCCCTCCTGTTCTGAGTGTGATGAGTTGAAACTCGGTCTTCTTTGTTGGAGTCTGCTCTCAGGTGACTCTTTTTTTTTTTTTTTTTTTTTGGTTTTTCGAGACAGTGTTTCTCTGTGGCTTTGGAGGCTGTCCTGGAACTCGCTTGGTAGTCCAGGCTGGTCTCGAACTCACAGAGATCCGCCTGCCTCTGCCTCCCGAGTGCTGGGATTAAAGGCGTGCGCCACCAACGCCCGGCTCTCAGGTGACTCTTATATTTTAGAGTGAGGTGCAAGCTGAGAAGACTCTGGGTCTAAGGGAGAAGATGACCGAATACATTACTTTATGAGTGTGTGCTTGCCTGTGTGTATGTGAACACACAGCCAGAAGGGGCGGTTGGATGCCCTGGGATTGGACTTATAGGTGGTGTGGGTATTGTGGGTGTTGACTTATAGGTGGTGTGGGTATTATGGGTGTTGACTTATAGGTGGTGTGGGTATTGTGAGTGTTGACTTATAGGTGGTGTGGGTATTATGGGTGTAGACTTATGGGAGGTGTGGGTATTGTGGGTGTTGACTTATATGTGGTGTGGGTATTGTGGGTGTTGACTTATAGGTAGTGTGGGTATTGTGTTGACTTATATGTGGTGTGGGTGTTGTGGGTGTTGAGAACCAAATCCAGGTCTTCTGAAAGAGCATTTAATGCTCCTTACTCCAATCCATAGCTGACTTTTGATTGATTAGCTTCTCTCTGCGGTGGGGGGGGGGGGGGGGCAGGCATGCAAAGTGTCTTTGCTTCCTGGAGGCAATTGAGTTTTCCTGAGAACCTTCCAGTCTTTCTCCTAGAGCATACAAGACTGAATACCAGTGTCCTGGGAACAAGGTAGAGTTGGCATGCCTACTGCTTCTGTGTGCTTGCTCCCAGGTCCCTCTCACAGTACCCTACCTGTCATCTAGTTATCCGGTGTCTTCAGGCTGGCTGTGCTGTAAGCCCCAGACTCTGCAGTCTGTGGCACACAGCAGATACTCAAATGCTGGGTGGTCCACCTTTATTACTTAGGACCTATTTGAGGGCTCTAGGCTCCAGGTTCCAGCCTATCATAGGGGGGGATACCATGGGCAGGAGCTTGAGGGTGCAGGACACGTTGCATCCATCATCAGGAACAGAACAGTGGATGAATGCACGCATGCTCTTTAGTCTTCTTCCTCCAGTCAGGGAATGGTGCCGCCATCAGTTAAGGCAATCATGGTATCCTTCACAGGCATGCCTAGAGGCCCCTTTTGCAGGTGATTCTAGATTTGGTCAAGCTGACAGTTAAGACTGCGTGATCTGACACTGACTCAGGTGAACTGAAGGACAATGTTAGAGACATCTACCGGAAGCACATGAAATTTGGCCATTCGCATTCTCCACAGCCCACAGATGGCCAAGCTCCAAATGCCCAGAGTTTCTTCTTGTTGGATCCAGATTCAGTCAGCAGGAAGCATGTCCTCAGACCACAGAAATTACTGCCTGTTTTTTTTTTCGTTCCTGTGCTTGCATACACTCTGATAATCACCCAGGAAGCTCAGCCGAGATCCTCAAACTGAAAAGAGAGCCACAGAAACAGCTCATGTTCTCAGCATGGAGTAGGTGTTGGCTTTTCTAAATTCCTCCTGGGTAGTGAAAAGAAGTTACTCTTTGGGGAGAAAGTCTACAGACTGGAAAACAGAAACAAAACCAAGAACACTTGGAGTTCCTGCGATGCTGGAATTCACAGAGATGGCAAAACAGGAGCCTGAATTGTGAAGGCTTGGAGAGAGAAGCCCTCTTAGAAAGAGAGACGAGGACCAGTGTGCCTGCTAAGCTGGGCACAGACTAGAGACCAGCAAAGGCCTAGCTGACCCATGGCTGACTGGAGCTGGAAGCTGACGTCCTTCCCATCTTGTCGTCCACAATTGTGCAGTCCAGACAGCTGTGGTTTTGACGCCTTCATTCTTCAGTTTTATTTTTAACTGCCTGGTCATAGCTATTGTCATGTGGCCATGCCAAGCCTTTTCAAAGGGACATGGAACACCTCATTTCTGCTTCTATTTCCTTGGTAGAAATTTAACATTTAACAGCAAGGGTTGTGGGATATGAATGGTCCAGATTAGCAGTTTGTCTTCTAACTAAGGAAGTTTATAGGTAGGGATATCCTACACCCACACATAAATCTGTTCAGTAGCTTTACTTCTACCAACATGGGAGGGCCTAACATTGCCTGTTTGATTCCAATTTAAAACCCACTCCTTGATATCTCAAAGCATCTCACACCTCAATGCTAAATCAACTTTGCATTTCTGGGAGGAATCGGGAGTAAAGTAAAATACACACATTGCTTACATTCGCCTTCAGTACTCTTCTATGGTGATCTCAGACCTTGGGAAACAGAATTTGTAAAGGTAATGGGCATAGTCACAGGCTGCTATAGGAAATCTCTCTCCCCATACACAACATTGGTCTAAACATGGCCATCTTAAAATGGAAAATGGTTCATGTGTGTGTACAGAACTCATTTCATTTTGATCATAGCTTTCTTCCAATTAACATGCTTATTTCTTCACCCAGGTGCATTTTTGGAGACAAATCCTCTGAGAGACTTGCAGCAGTTGGATTTAGCCGGAAATTGTGTGAGCAGTGATGGATGGCTTTCCTTCATGAATGCATTTGAGGACCTTAAACAATTAGTATTTTTTGACTTTAGTACTAAAGATTTTTTACCAGATGCATCACTGGTGAGAAAACTTAGTCAAGTGTTATCGAAATTAACTTTTCTGCAAGAAGCTAGGCTCATTGGGTGGGAGTTTGATGACTATGACATTAGTGTCATTAAAGGCACCTTTAAGCTAGTAATTAAAGGTACCCAAAGCCAAGTACTGTAGAGACTCCATTACTTTCAATGGATCATTGAAAATCTTGGAGAAGGGGGCTGGGGAAGATGGCCCAGTGGTTAGAAGCACCAGCTGCTCTCCCAGAGGACCTGGGTTCGGTTCCCAGCACTCACAAGGTGGCTCCCAACCATCTGTACCTCCGGCTCCAGGAGATCCAACACCATCTTCTACCTCCATGGGTACCAGGCAGGCAAGTGGTTCACGTAAACATGAAGCAAAAACGCTCATACATGTAAAATAAAATTTAAAAATACTTAAGGAAGTCAAACATGACAAAGGTGAAGGGGTTTGAGAAACACATTTGGCCTCATCTCTTCGACTGTTGTTCACGTTTGTGTTACTTGGCCCTAACAATACTGGGTCACAACAACTTGATGTACTGTGCTCCTCTGTACTGAGTACAACACCTGGTCTATACAGACTCAATGAGTACTGGATGAATGTGTGACAACTAAATTACTAATAAATAAGCTAAAAGTGTCTAGAGAACAAACTTCCTATGTGTTATTTAATTCAACTGCTTTAATTAAGACATTTTGGTATATAGAGTACTTTCTCACATGAAAAGTCTTCAAATCAGATTTGAAAGATAAACAGACACTGATTTGTATGCATATGAATAGTTGGGTGATATATTATGTATGATCTAATAAAGCTTGCCTGGAGATCAGAATGCAAAGTTAGCCACAGCCATAGAGACCAGGCAGTGGTGGTGCACACTTTTTTTTTTAAAGATTTTATTTATTTATTATGTATACAGTGTTCTGTCTGCATGTATGCCTGCAGGTCAGAAGAGGGCACCAGATCTCATGACAAATGGCTGGGGGCCACCATGTGGTTGCTGGGAATTGAACTCAGGACCTCTGGATGAGCAGTCAGTGCTCTTAACCTCTGAGCCATCTCTCCAGCCCAGGTGGTGCACACTTTTAATCCCAGCACTGGAGGCATGTAAGACGGGCAGGGTCTCAGAGCAGGCAATTAGTCTCCAGCTACATTAAGGACAGAACTGACCCAGATTTGGGAGAGGTGAGAGCTCTCTGGTGGCTTGGCTGTTTTACTTCTCTGATCTTCAGCTTGAACCCCAAAATGTGTCTCTGAGTTTTTATTAACCGTGTTACAGAGTGGTGTGTATGCCATGGTGTACATGTGGGATCAAAGGACAGCTTTTGGGAGCCGGTTTTCTCCTCCTTCCAGAGAACAGGGGATCTAATTCAGGTCACTGGGCTTCATGGTAATGACTGTCTTTATCTGCTGAGCCATCTAGAGCCCCAAATGAGCATCTGTGGTCAAGTAAAAATTGGCAGTTCACCCTACCGGGGTGGTGGCGGCGTACACATTTAATCCCAGCACTTTGGAGGCAGAGACAGGTGGATCTCTGTGAGTTCAAGGCCAGCTTGAGTTCCAGGACCTCCAGGGCTACACACAGAGGAATCCTGTCTTGAAACCAACCCCCAATATATACGCGCGTGTGTGTATAGATGAGATGTTTTGTTCATAAAATGAAAAAATTTAAAGCTAGTCTATTTTTTTTTTGGAGGCTGTCGGTCCAGCCCGGCCTCGAACTCAAGAGATCCGCCTGCCTCTGCCTCCCGAGTGCTGGGACTAAAGGCGTGCGCCACCACCGCCCGGCGCTAGTCTATTAAAATGAATCAAAAAAGTCCATTCTTGTCAGTGTTTATGTAACGTACATCCTACCAGTCAACTGCCATGTGCTTGTTTAATCTCACTAAGAAACTGCTATGGAAGTGGGGTTGCCCAAACATGTTTGTCTCAACGTGTCCTCCAACGGTCCCTAACACTGTGGCAGGGAAGGAAAAGAACAGGAAACAGCCTGATGTTAAAACATGTCCTGAAGAACAGCTAGAAGGTGAGCCATTTCCAAGAGAGATACAGAAACACCAGAGGAGGGAGAGAAGCGCACACTCAGATGTGGGAAGCTCAGCCAGGAGCTGTAGCTGCCGCCTTACCTTCCCCGGATGCACGGTCTCTGTGGGTGCTGCTGCCTCTCATTAGATGACTCCCTCTCTTTGCTATTTCTCTTACCTGGATGCCTCCCTCAAGGGACGGACAGTCTGCGGACTCTACAAGACCTCCTGGCTACCTTACAGGAGCTGCCCCAGCTGCTGGGTGTTTAGAGCGCCCAGCTGGTGATGCCCGGCTCTCTGTCTTCCCATCTTGTGCAGTTTATCCTTTTTCCTCGACTTGCTATATACTTAATAAATTTACTCATTCAAAACCAAAGTATGCCTCCAAAACAATACAGAGAAAACAAAACAAAAACAAAGTATGGCTATCTACGTCAATGGACAATTGACTAAATGTAATATGGAAAACTTGATTTTTTTTTTAAAACTCATTCCATTTTACCAAAGGTTTGGTAATTGTAGCTAAAATAAAACATTGAGAATAGTGGACTATTTACAAATGTGCTACATTTGTAAATGAAAAAAAGCTTTACTCAAAACCTGTTACTTAAAAATTTAGAGTATACCCATATGGTGGCTCAAAACCTACAATCCCAGCACTTGGGAGACAGGAAGATCTCCGTGAGTTTGAGGCCAGCTTGGTCTACAAAGCGAGTTCCAGGACAGCCAGAACTGTAACACAGAGAAACCCGGTCTCAGAACGCCCCGTTACCCCCACCCCCCCAAAAATAGCTGACATTCCAGCTTAGAGAAATGGGCTTTTTGAAGGAAGCCTACTTAAGACACGTCACATTTTCAAAGATCTCACTGCCACAAAGAACATTTTATAAAAATATAGTTTATAAGTTTCATGAAATACGAACAAGCTTGCAATAATCTGACACTTAAACGGTTAACAGTCAATGCAAATTGGATTACTAAATACACTGGGAACCAAGGAGTCGACATTGCTCATAAAAATGAGTTAGAGTCCTTCAAGGTCTCGGCTGCCCCGTCCTGTAGTTTCCATACCGACTCGGCACATGTGGGAAGGTGGGCCTCAATCCCTGGCCTGCTCCAACTCCTGCCAGTCCTTGGCCGAGCACACTGCTGTATGGCGTGTGTCCACGACTGGGACCCAAACCATAAGGCCTTGTCTGTGTGTTCAGAAGAATAACTGGGCTCACGTTTTTCCCAGGAGTATTAAATGAAAACTCTGGAGGAGGGCTGCTAGGTTTGGCTGGTGTTGATGTGACAGGGGTCATATCATCAGTATTCTTTAGAAGAGGCATTGGGATTATGTGATGGTCTGAGAAGTTTAGGACATTGGGTGCGACAGGCCCAGACAGTAAGGCAGGCCTGATCCAGTCATCCTTGAAAATCTGAACAGTCAGAGTAGATACAAGTGTGTACAGCCTGTTGGTCACATGAGCAAGGACCATTTGCTCATTTGCATCGCGTCGAATTCTTACATGTACTGATCCAGCCTAAAAAGGGGAAAATCACAAGACTGGTAAGAATTATAATACAAAGACTTCTGCTTTATCCACAAGTTGATTGGTACTTTTTTCTTTAAAATAAGAAAACCAGTATCTTGCTATTTACTACTTGTACTTATCAATGTGAGAAGTTAATGAAATGATTTGTGTCCCTTTAAAAGATGGACTAGAGATGCAGCTCAGTTTACAGAATGCATGCAAAAGTCCTGGGTTTGATCCTCACCCCTGCATAAACCAGGCACAGTGGTGAACATCTGAGATCCCAGTACTTGGGAAGGTATAGAAAAGCTACGATTTCAGTAGTTGTTGAAGATTTGAGAAGACAACTGCATCTAACCCAGAGATGATAAATAAATGGAATTTCAAGAGCAAAAAAAGAGGCTGGATGTGGTGACACACACCTTTAGTCCCAGCACTGAGAGGCAGAAGCAAGAGGAGCTCTGTGAGTTTGAGACCAGCCTGGGTTCAACTGAGAGACCCTGCTTCAATATGTAAGTGATAAGAAAGATACCTGACAGCAACCTGAGGCCTCTACACACACACACACACACACACACACACACACACACACACACACACACACACACACACACACACACACACACTACACATATACATTCACATGAAAATGCTCTATAGTAGAGGGTTAGCTGGCACAGCCATTCTGCAAGGCAATTTGATAATCTGTATTAAAAGCCGTAAAGATGTGATTATTATGTGATTCACAAAACTCACTTCTAAAAACTAATTTTTCAAGGCTGGAGAGATGGTTCAGAGGTTAAGAGCTGGCTGCTCTTCCAGAGGTCATGAGTTCAATTCCCAGCAACCATATGGTAGCTCACAACCACCTATAGTGGGATCTGATGCCCTATTCTGTCATAAAATCATGTATCATACATGCAGATAGAACACACACACAGACACACAGACACCACAGACACACACACACAAGCAACAGAAGCACTCGAAAAGCAGAGGCAGGTGAGCTCTGTGAGTTCAAGGCCAGCCTGGTCTATACAGTGAGTTCCACAATAAATAGGACTACACAGAGAAACCTGTCACAAAAACAACAAACAAAAGGACATGATTAAATGTGATGGTGTACACCCAGAATCTCAGTATTCAGAAGGCTGGGAAAAGTCTTGTGAGCGCAAGGCTATCTTGGGCTACAACAGCAGGTTCCAGAATAGCCTAACCTACAGAATGAGATGCTGTCTCAAAAGAAAAATAAACAAACAAAAAAATACATGGTAGGAGAACATTTTTTTCTAATTTAAGTTTTAAAAAACCATGTTTAAGTTACACCAAACTAACTTGTAGAAGACATACCAATGAGCCAAATCCAAGGGTCCAAAAGTGTTCGTTTCGGACTTCTAGGACCCCATCCAAGGTAGACACCTAATCAAAAGCACAGAACAGTTTGTCAGTTACCTGCATTTGACACAGAGAGTGGTCCAATCACATTACGTCCTGCCCAAGGACACACAGTAGCTCTCAGAGGCCGCAGATACTCGGTGTTTGTTCAGTCCTGGCTCAGGCTGCCCCACGCCTTGAACCAGGTGCTGCCTCAGAGCTTACATTGCTATGGTTTTGTTTTTGAACAAGGTAGACATGTTTATTACAAGCACTTATTTGTGGTACCAGGTTTGTTTTCTAGTGTGTATACTAGTTGTTTCTTTGCCTGGACCCTCTTCTAGCAAACCTCTCTTTGAATGTAGGCTACCAGTAAATTCCAGGGCTAGTGACAACAAAGACATATTCAGGGCCAGGGTTCAGTCTGAGACGTGCATCCAGCTGTGCTGGAAAAAGTGACCTTTGGAATGAATGCTGACACCCAAGAACTGAGACGAGTGTCAGCATCCAAACCAATGACATTTCTTCATCATTAGCAGGTGGGACTTCCTTACAAGAGAAAATACCCTACAAACCAGGAAGTTAGGTGGATTAGCATGGAGAAATGGACTTTTGCCTTTGGTCAAATCCTGAAGACAGAGTGAAAAAAATCATTTACCCAGCTAACATAGTGTCTTCAGACCATCACCTTCCATAAGTACTTAGTCAATTTGGCTTCCAAACTGAGCAGTTCCCCA